TGACCAGCCATTGCAACAAAGAAGATATACACGTGGCTAATGAACATATGAAAGATGCCCCATGCCCTTAGGCCCCGGGAAATGCAAGTGAAACCACAACTAGATGCCACTTTACAGCCGCAAGGATGGCTGGAGCCAAGCGGCCAGACCATGGAAGTGTTGGTGACAATGTGCCGCAATTAGGGTTCTCGCGGGCACGCGGCTGGTGAGAATCAAGGTGGACTGGCCACTTTGGAAAACGATGTTACAGTTTCCTCTAAAGCTCTACATCTACTTACCATCTGTCCAGCGTCCCACTCCTGGGCAAACGAGAAGTGCAAACACATGTGCACAGAAGACTTGCACACCAGTCCTTACATCAGCTTTTGTCGAAATAGGTGAAAACCGGAAGCCATCCAAAGGCCAAACGCCCATCTGCAGGTGCCTGGACACACAACTCGGCACAGTCAGACATGGGATGCTGTTTAGTAATAAAAGGGAATCGTTACCTGAGATTCAGAGCCACATAGATGAACCTCACAAGCACAATGTCGACTAAAATAACCACTTGGTTCCACTTATGTGAGGCTCTGGAACCTGCAACATGAATCTCTTTTTCAGAAAGCAGGTCCTTGGTTGCCTGGAGTGGGGGGCGGGGAGGGGACCCCTGTCAAAGGGGCCTGAGGACACTTTCTGGTGGCAGAAAAGTGATACATCGTGATTGCGGTGGTGATTACATGGGCGAGTACACTTACTGTACTTACTGAACTGTACACTTCAAACGGGTGCATTTTATTGTAAGTAAACTATATAGACCTCAATCAACTTGATTTAAAAGGACAAAGGGCCCAGCTGGCGTGGCTCAGTGGTTGAGCATCGATCTAGGAACCAGAAGGTCATGGTTCGATTCCCGGTCAGGGCACATGCCCAGGTGGCGGGCTCCATCCCCAGTGGGGGGCACGCAGGAGGCAGCCGATCCATGATTCTCTCTCATCATGGATGTTTCTCTCTCTCTCCCTCTCCCTTCCTCTCTGAAATCAATAAAAACATTTTTTTTTTAAAAGGAAAGCTGTAGGGCGAGAACAGATCCCTCAGTATTGAGCATCAGGCCCTGTGGCCCGTTGGGCAGCATGTGTGTGAGTCATTGTCACTGCACAGGCCAGTGTCTCCTTCCTTTTGGTTGCTGTGCACGATTCTCTCTGGATGCTTCTGCTGATTTGCTTATTCATTCTCCTGCTGCTCAGCATTTGAGGTTGTTCCCAGTTTGGGGCCATCATGGAGATGGAGGCCCCAGGCCCTTCTGGGTCTCATGTTCTTAGAGTGGACAGCTCTCTAGCTCCCGGTCCCCAGGCCTGCGAGCCACCAGCAGACCATCCTTCTGGAGGCAGGCTCACGTCTCCACAGCCAGAGAAGCGAGTTCTGGGGGGCCCTGAGGCCAGAGGCTGTGGGATGGCTCCCCACTGCATGTCTGGCCCCCTCCCCCCTGCTGACCCCAGTCCATTCTGTTTTGAAAACCCAGCACTGGGTGTTGGCCTGAGGAGCAGGCGGGGTAGCATTTGCCAGGAGTGAAAGGGGAGTGACTTCTACAGCCACAGCGGCGGGACAGATTTTGCTGAAACCAGGAAACGGACCCTAGTTTCCCTTGCTATTTTGGTTCCATGAGGCGCAAGTTCTTTGAAAACAATGAGAAGGAAGAAACACCTCAAACTCAGTCTGTGCTTGGGAACCGCCTGAGTAGCTGTGCTAGCAAACCTCCAGGGGGCAGAGCAGGGGGCAGAGAAGCCAAGGGCCTACAAGGAGACACTGCTCAGCGGCTCGCGTCAGGGCATCAGCGTGTGGGGTGGGGGCCCCGCCATCGCCGCCTCCTGGCAGCTGGGGGCATGGCCAGCCACTGACCAGCGTGCAGAAGCAGAGCCCCGTGTCTGCTGATTGCCCACATTCAGACACCCCCCGGACATTGTTTTTATTGAAGTAAAATTTACGTAACATGAAATTAGCCATTCATCGCTTAAAAGTGTACAATTTGGCCCGGCCGGTGTGGCTCAGTGGTTGAGCATCAACCCATGAACCAGGAGGTCAGGGTGGGATTCCCGGTCAAGGCACATGCCCAAGTTGCGGGCACCATCCCCGGTAGGATGGAGAGAATGATGATTCTCTCTCATCATGGATGTTTCTATCTCTCCCTCTCCCTTCCTCTACCTCTCTGAAATCAATAAAAACATATTTTAAAAATAAAAACCACAAAGGTGTACAATTTGGCGGTGTTTATTTATTTTTAAATATATTTTTAATTGATTTTTTACAGAGAGGAAGGGAGAGGGATAGAGAGTTAGAAACATCGATGAGAGAGAAACATCGATCAGCTGCCTCCTGCACACTCCCTACTGGGGATGTGCCTGCAACCAAGGTACATGCCCTTGGCCGGAATCGAACCTGGGACCTTTCAGTCCACAGGCTGATGCTCTATCCACTAAGTCAAACCGGTTTCGGCAAATATATTTTTATTAACTTCAGAGAGGAAGGGAGAGGGAGAGAGAGACAGAAACATCCATGATGAGAGAGAATCATGGACCGGCTGCCTCCTGCACGTTGCCCACTGGGGAACCAGCAACCCGGGCCTGTGCCCCTGACCGGGAATCGAACCCTGGTTCATAGGTCGGTGCTCACCCACTGAGCCACGCGGCCAGGCCTAACTTGAATACTCTGACACTTGGCATCTTGCTTTTTGCTCTGGGGCAGATTGAAATATCAGTCCCTCGTGAGATTTAATCCGGGGACAGCAGAGGCTCCTGGAGCCTATTCTTAGCTTCGCTCCTGCTGTCCCAGCTGCTTCAGGCCTGCCCCCACCCACCCCTCCTGCTGTCCATCTGTTACAGACGAGGAAACCGAGCCGCAGAAAGGTCACCTGAGGTTAGAAACAAAAAGCAAGCGGGACGAGTGATCTAGGCCAGTCCGGGATTTCTCACCTGCCCCTCCCCCCCACCCCCCTGCCGCAGGCTGGGGACCAGCACAGAAGCCCTTTCTGATGGTCACCGGGATCCTTCCCCCAAATCCCGGCGCGAAGACAAATGGCTGAGAACTGCCAGTGGGTTTGACCTTCTCTTCTCACGAACTGTGACCTTTCTTTCCATCCAGCAAATGTGTTCCTGGCCCCAGCGTTCCCGTGGGACTCAGCTCCGGGCAGCCAGGGAGCCTGGCTTCTGGAATGATCACAGTGGTTCCGGGAGAGGCCCCTTTCCGTCTGCACCTGGGAAAGCCCGGGGTGGCCTGGACAATCCTGAGTTCCACGCTCTCTGCTTCCCGGCACTGGCTCTTCAGGGAGGGGGGCGGGGCGGGGGGGGCAGGGGGGCAACAGGAGGAGCTGGAGATGGATTCCCTTTCATTGTGGGGAAGCTGCCTCACTCAGGATGTTGCTCAGGAATCTAGTTGCCAACCGGAGAAGCGGAGAATGGTTCATGCTCGGTGTCCCCACGCCTCCCGGTTGGAGGCCCTCTGCCTGGAGCAACACCTAAACCAGCAGCTCCCCGAAATCATGCTGGGCGCTGGGTGTCAGCAATTCCATCATGGGCCCGGCCTTCGTGGTTGAGCATGGACCTATGAACCAGGAGGTCAGGGTTCAATTCCAGTCATGGGCACATGCCCGGGCCGCAAGCTCAATCCCCAGTAGGGGGCGTGCAGGAGGCAGCTGATCCATGATTCTCTCATCATAGATGTTTCTTTCTTTTTTAAAAAAATATATTTTTATTGATTTTTAGAGAGAGAGGAAGGGAGAGGGGTAGAGAGAAACATCGATGAGAGAGGAAGTCATCAATTGGCTGCCTCCTGCACACCCTCTACTGGGGATCCAGTGCCTTAACTTGGTTAACTGGGAATGGAACCCGTGACCTCTTGGTTCCTGGGTTGACACTCAACCACTGAGCCATACCAGCCAGGCTCATCATGGATGTTTCTCTCTCTCTCCCTCTCCCTTCCTCTCTGAAATCAATTAAAAAAATTGTTTTTTAAAAAGAACTTCCATCATGGGAGCCCAAAAGCCAGGTGCCTGTGCACATCCCGGCCAGAAAATGGTTACTTCTAAATCCAAGTATTGCTGAGTGTGTGTGACCCGCAATGCTAGTCACGTGCTTGGGCCCCAGCTGCAGGGGCTGATGGGAAAGTTTCTGGTTTCAACCTCAAGCAGGCGGGATGGACAAGGCAGGAAAGTCCCTAAGTGTAGAAAGAGTGCTTCAAAGGTGCTGCAGAGGGGGAGGGAGGGGGCGGGTGCAGGTGGAAGGGGTCCATGGGGAGAAAAGGGGACCTCTGTAATACTTTCACCGATAAAGATAAATTAACAAAATAAATAAAAATGTAGGAAGAAACAAAACATGCTGCTAGGGAGCCAGAAACGGTGTCAAATGTCCACTCTTATCAGACACTAGTGGCCCGGTGCATAAAATTCATGCACATTAAAAGGGAATTAATTAGAGGAAATATTGCTATTTGCCCTTTCTCTATAACAGAAGTGTCAGAGATGAAAGAAAATTAGTAAAATGTATATGAAAATCTCCCTCCTGTCAGAGTCTGGGGCGTACCACGGGACCCAGAGTCAAGTCCCCACCCACCCGCGCATGCCTCGAAATCGCACGAGACCCAGACCCAGCCGGCCCCACCCCCATTGGGTGAGACCCAGACCCACCCGGCCCCACCCCCATTGGGTGAGACCCAGACCCGGCTGGCCACATCCCCATTAAGCCCTGCCAGGCGGGGGGTGCAGCCACAGGTCCCCCAGCCCGGTGCCAGCCAGGGGGTGCAGTCTCAGGTCCCCCGTCAACCCCGCTGGGTGGGGGGCGCAGCCTCAGGTCCCCCAGCCCAGTGCCTGGGTGGGGGGCATGGCCTGAGGTCCCTGTCAAGCACTGCCGGGTGGGGGGCACAGCCTGAGGTCCCCCGGTCCAGTGCTGGGGCGGGGGGGGGCGTGGCCTGAGGTCCCTCGCTCTGGCCAGGCGCCATGCAGCCTCAGGTCCCTGCTGTTCGGTTGTGACGTTATGGCGTCACGGCTAATTGGCATAGTCCTCTATTATGATGATGATGATGATGATGATGATGGTTGGTCACAAGGAACAGAAACACGTGGCCATGCAGATGGTTACAATGGGTTTCTGACATGAAAACAGGAAAATGTCACAGCAACAGCCATTAGCAGGACCCCGTGGGAACCCGAGAGCTGGCCAGGCTGCCTGCTCTGTCGTTCTCCTGTTGGCTCTGGTCTCCACACACCAGCTTCCCCATCTTGTCCTTGGCTCCTGCCTCCTCCAGCTTTTGACCTGCCCGTGGCTCTGTTACAGAGCTCAGCCCTGGGGCCATGCAGGTGGGTGCTCACAGGATGTCACTGCCTGTCCCATGTTCACAGGGACGGAAGGGATCTGACTGCTTGGGCCAAATGTTCACCCTCGGCCCACACAGCTGTGGCGGGGAGGCGGCAGGAGGGACACACACGGGCGTTGTTTTCTCAGATGGTGGTTGGCACCAGCTGCTGTGCAAACGGGGGGGACTGAGAGCCAGGAGGGCCCCAAAGGCCAGGAAGTGTAGGCCGTCGGTTTACAGTCAGAGGAGCGGAAGCTGAGAAAGGCCAGGCCTGGGGGTGAGGAGCGCGCATGCGGTGGGAAGCCAAGCCAAGGCTCGCAGTGGTGAGCCACTCTGAACCTCAGCTTCTTCTTTTGTCAGAAGAAGGGGAGAATACTCCCTCGCAGGATTGCCATCTGAAATGAAATAATGTATGTACCAAGCTTAGCCTGGAGCAAACACTAGTTAAAATGTGGTTGTTCTCAATGGAATATCATGCTGTGGTAGAAAAGAATTCTTACCATTTGCAACAGCATGGATGGACCTGGAGAGCATTATGCTAAGCGAAATAAGCCAGACGGAGAAAGATAAATATCACATGACCTCACTCATATGTGGAATATAATGAACAACATAAACTGATGAACAAAAACAGAACCAAAGTCAGAGAAGCATCAGTCAGACCATCAAACCTCAGAGGGAAGGCAGGGGAGGGAGGGGGGAAGGGGGAGAGATCAACCAAAGGACTTGTATGCAAGCATATAAGCCTAACCGATGGACACAGACACCAGGGGTGAGGGCATGAGTTGGGGGTGGGGAAGGGGCAATGGGGGAATAAGGACACATATGTAATACCTTAATCAATAAATAAAAAAAATAAAAAAAATGTGTTTGTTCTAAAAGCAAAAGAAACCCATACAATTTGATGAATTGGAGTCGCATTAGACATGCTTATATCACCCAGATAATATTCCTGAGCCACGTCTGGTGGTATTTGCTGTCTTTCGTGATGGGGCCCACCTGTGGGCCTTGTTCCCTTGGACTCCCAGAGCCACTGCCAGTAGCTGTGCTCTAAGGCTGCGTAGAAATGTGGTCGTACAGTATGTAGTCATTTAAAAAAAATCTTTATTGTTGAAAGTGTTACACAGGTCCTTTTTCCCCCCCATTAATCTCTTCCAGCTGCTCCCCGCCCCCACCCCCCGCCCCAGGCCCTCACCACCGCATTGTCTGTGTCCATGGGTCATGCACACAAGTTCATTGGTTGACCTCTTCCCCCTCCTCCCCCACTTCCCTCTGTGGTTTCACAGTCTGTTCCCTGCTTCCATGTCTCTGGGTCTATTTTGTTCGTCAGTTTATTTGGTTCATTAGATCCCACATATGAGTGAGATCACGTGATAGTTCTCCTCTCTGACTGGCTTATTTCGTTTAGCATAAAGGTACGTGTTCTTCTGTGTCAAGTTTCTTTGCTCAACATAATGCTTTTGTTCCCTTTTGTTGCAGAGTAGCATTCTGCTGTAAAAATAAATGTATTGCAATTCACTTCTCCACTGCACTGTTGGGTAATTTCTAGTTTTGATCTATTATGAATCAGCCACTATGCACTTTCTTGTACAGTCTTTATGCAAACATTTTTTTTTTATTTCTTTTGGGTAAACACCTAGGAGTGGAATTGCTGAGTCATAGGGTAGGCATATGCTTAGCTTTAATAGACACTGCCAAGGTTTTCCAAAGTTACTGAACTGTTTTCCACTCCCACCCACAATGTAAGAAAATCCAGTTGTCCTATATCCTCAGCAACATTTGGGGTTGTCAGAGTCTTTTGAATTTTACTCATCCTAGTGGGTATGTAGGGAAATCTCATTGGAGCTTTAATTGCACGTCCCTAATGGCTAATGATGTTGATCACCTCTTCATGTGCTTAATGGCTACATAATATATTCTTGCTCTGACCAGTGGTGTTAAGTGGTTAGAGCATCGTCCCATGCACTGAAGAATTGTGGGTTTGATTCCCTAGCAAGGGCATGTGCCTGGGTTGCAGGTTCGATCCCTGGCCCAGGTCGGGGAGCGTGTGGGAGCAACCGATTGATGTGTCTCTCTCACATCAATGTTTCTCTCTCTCTCTCTCTCTCTCTCTCGTCTCCTTCTCTCCCCCTTCCTCTCTCTAAAATCAATTAAAAAAAAGAAAAAAGTATTTTTTCCACAGTGTACACTAGCTATCGGCAGGAATATTAGTCTGATACAAATTACTCTGCCATTTATTGCAAGTAGGACTCACCCAAATATGTTAGTATTATTATTTAAAATGTTGCATTGGTCTCTGGATTATTAGGCACGTAGTTAGTCTTCATATTGGGTAAGCCAACGCTGGGCTTTTGTTGTCTGTTCTGAGAATTTACTTGATTTAATTTAAATTTCACGAAATAATCCAGTAAATTAGTTATTCCTAATGGCTATCAAAGTTTCAAAGGCTGAAAATAGGTCTCTAATAGTGACAACATCTTGAATGTTTAAAGATTAAAATAACCTTTAATCTACTTTCTGATTCAAACTTCATTATTGTTGTGTGTTTTTTATCCTCACCCGAGGATATATTTCCCAATGATTTTTAGAGAAAGTGGAAGGGAGAGGGAGAGACAGAGAGAAACACCAAGTGAGACACATCAATTGGTTGCCTCCCGCATGCCCCTGACCAGGGCTGGGACCCTGCAACCAAGGTACGTGGTGCCCTTGACCGGAATCGAACCCGGGACCCTTCAGTCCGCAGGCCGACACTCTATCCACTGAGCCAAACTGCCTAGGGTGATAGTTCAAACGTTAAAAGGTAAAAAGGATATACAATAAAAAAGTTCACTCCTCTTGCATGTTTTTAAAAAATTGCCAGCTACATTTTTGACCTCTGATATTATACTAGAGGCCGGGTGCACGAAATTCATGCAAGAGTAGGCCTTCCTTCCCCCGGCTGCCAGCACCGGCTTCCCTCCGGCATCTGGACCCGGGCTTCCCTCGCAGGGGAGGCCTTGCCCATCCCCTGCAGCCTGCTGGTTGGTGTCCTGGCCTCCCTCTTTGGGGCGATCATGGAGCCCCCTGATTGATTGCCCTGTTAGCCAGTGGCCTGGGCCTCCCTCTGCAGGGCGATCATGGGGCGATGGCTGGGCCCCCGACCAACTGCATCACACCTGCCTTGGCTGGCCTGGTGCCAGTGGGTGTCATAGCGTGGTCCTGGATGGTCGCCCGGATGGTCATTCCGCTGTTCGGCTATTTGGTCGACAAGTGAATTGCTTGTATCTTCTATGTCTTAATCCCATGAATTCCTTGACAAAGAGTATTTTTTTTTTTTTAAAAAAATAAACAACATCCTGCAGCCGGAATCGTTACAGAGGAGGGCACTGATTACATTGAATTCTGCAAACATTCACTGAGCCATACCATGCACCCGGAACAATGCCGGCTACTGTGGCGCAGAAACATGAGTCATATGGGTGAGTGTGCACTTCTGTTAATTAGAGAGGAGCAGAGAATGGAATTAAGGACTCTGTCAAGAAATCTGATGCCTTCTGCTTGACCCAGTTGGAAGAGTTGATAGAAAAAATTCCGCCTGTGTCCAGCTGACACCTGGACTTAAGGTTACATTCTTGGCCTTGTCTTTGCTAACAGGGTACCTTTCCAGGTCAGCAGCTCCCCTGCTACAGCTGAACTCAGCTCAGGGTCCAAGAACCTGATCATAAACTTGGTGTCTAGTTCACAGTTCTTAGGGGCAGAGAAAAACCAAGCCAAGCTTCTGCAACAAGAATATTGAACTGCCCGGCTGGTGTGGCTCAGTGGTTAAGCATCAGCCCATGAACCAGGAGGTCACAGCTCAAGTCCAGGTCAGGGCACAGGCCTGGGTTGTGGGCTCAATTCCCAGTGTGGGGCGTGCAGGAGGCAGCTGATCCATGATTCTCTCTGTCTCCCTTCCTCTCTGAAATCGATACAAGTATCTGAAAAAAAATAATTGGGCTGCAAAGGGGTGGGAAACCCTAAGGCCATTTGGATGATGCAGGAGGTGGCGGGCTGCATCCTGCCACACACAGGTGGGACTTCATCTGCAGTGACCCTCTGGATGACGATCGCTCCTTGTTCTGTCTTTTCTCCCCCCCCCCCAAACCCCCCAGCACTGGTCCTCGGCAGGGTGGGCGCCGGGGCCCCAGAGGCCTGCACGCGGCCCTGCCCGGCCGCCTGCTCCTGCGGCCTGGGCGAGCGGGGCTGCTGGGTACGCTGCGACCGCGCCGGCCTCCTGCGGGTGCCGCCTGAGTTCCCGGGCCAGGCGGCCTCCATCGACCTGGACCGCAACGGCCTGCGCTTCCTGGGCGAGCGGGCCTTCGGGACGCTGCCATCGCTGCGCCGCCTGTCGCTGCGCCACAACAACCTGTCGTTCATCACGCCCGGCGCCTTCCGGGGCCTGGCGCGCCTGGCCGAGCTGCGCCTGGCGCACAACGGCGACCTGCGCTACCTGCACGCGCGCACCTTCGCGGCCCTGGGCCGCCTGCGCCGCCTCGACCTGGCCGCCTGCCGCCTCTTCTCGCTGCCCGAGCGCCTCCTGGCCGGGCTGCCCGCCCTGCGCGAGCTCGCCGCCCCCGGCAACCTGTTCGGCCGCGTGCCCGGTGCCCTGCGCGGCCTGGCCAACCTGACACACGCGCGCCTGGAGCGCGGCCGCATCGAGGCGGTGGCCGCGGGATCGCTGCTGGGCCTGGGCCGCCTGCGCGCGCTCAGCCTGCAAGCCAACCGGGTGGGCACGGTGCACGCCGGCGCCTTCCGCCCCTGCGGGGCCCTGGAGCACCTGCTGCTCAACGACAACCGGCTGGCCGAGCTGCCCGCCGGCGCCTTCCGCGGCCTGGGCCGCCTGCGTGCGCTCCACCTGGGCGGCAATGCGCTGGGCCGCGTGGCGCGCGCCTGGTTCACCGACCTGGCTGAGCTCGAGCTGCTCTACCTGGACCGCAACCGCATCGCCTTCGTGGAGGAGGGCGCCTTCCAGAACCTGTCGGGCCTGCTGGCGCTGCACCTCAACGGCAACCGCCTGACCGCGCTGGCCTGGGCCGCCTTCCAGCCTGGCTTCTTCCTGGGCCGCCTCTTTCTCTTCCGCAACCCCTGGCGCTGCGACTGCCGCCTGGAGTGGCTGCGGGCTTGGATGGAGGGCTCCGGGCGTGTGGCCGAGGTGCCCTGTGCGTCCCCGGGCTCCGTGGCCGGCCTGGACCTCAGCCGCGTGGCCTTCGGCCGCGCCTCTGATGGGCTCTGCGTGGACCCGGAGGAACTGAACCTCAGCGCGTCCAGCGCAGGCCCGTCCCCGGAGCCTGTGGCCACCACTGTGAGCAGGTTCAGCAGCCTCCTCTCCAAGCTGCTGGCCCCGAGGGCCCCAGTGGAGGAGGCGGCCAACACCACCATGGGGCTAGTCAATGCCTCGCTGGCCCTTCCCTCGAGGGCGGTGGGAGGCTCAGGCCGCAGCACCCAGTTTCTCCTGGGCTCCAGTCTCCTGCTCAGCGCGGCCCAGCACATGCTGTTTGTCCTACAGACATCCGGAGCCTGCCACCCTGGGGTGGCCCAGACTGGCTTGGCCAGTGGCGGATAATTTCCCTAATTGGGCCTGAAGATGTTTGTGGTGGGGGGAGAGGTGAACAGGATGGAGAAGTTTGCCTCTAGAGATGGCCCCAGGAAGAGGACAGCCCTGGGAAATGGCACCTGGGATTAGGGGAGGGGTATGGATTTCTGTTCATGTCACATGGGCATCAGTTGGAAAAGGGAAGCAAGAATGAATATGGCCCTGGCCAGTTTGGCTCAGTGGATAGAGCGTAGGCCTGCGGACTGAAGGGTCCTGGCCTGGATTCTGGTCAAGGGCATGTACCTTGGTTGCGGACACATCCCCAGCAGGGGATGTGCGGGAGGCAGCTGATCGATGTTTCTCTCCCATCAGTGTTTCTAGCTCTCTATCCCTCTCCCTTCCTCTTTGTAAAAAATCAATGAAATATATTAAAAAAATAAAAGAATGAACATGGACCCTTCCACCAAAAGGCTAGGAATTGGAAGCTTGTAGGGTCCCGGGGCTCCACTTCCTCCCCTCATTCCTCATCTTCCCAGAAAGGACCGCAATGCCTGAACGAGAGCCAGTCCATTGGCTAAGTATTAAGAACGGTGCCGATCCTGGTGGGGCAACCCATTAGGCCCAGTCCCTTTGTTTCCTGCCATAACCCTCTCCCCTCTGGGCCTGGGGACACGAGGGTCCAGGAAGATGGACAGGACAGGAGAGAAGGGGGTGGGAGAAGGACTTAGACTGAAGGAGGTGGTAGTGATCCCTGGAGTCTGAGATGTGTTAGGAGGCGGTTAAAGCAAAGAGCCAGCCCTGGCCTGCCTGGCTCGGTTGGTTGGGTGTCCTCCCTGCAATGAAGCATTTTGGGATTGATCCCCCATTGGGGGCGTGCAGGAGGCAGCTTGTTGGGGTCCAGCCCCAGCAGGTCCAGGGGTTCCCAAAGGTGTGGACGGAGTCGGCAAAGAAGGAATGACAGGGAGACAGTGTTCAGTTGATAAGCATAGCCAGGTTCTCTAGCCAGGCTCTAGCCAGGTTCTGTCTTTATTCTCCTGTTACATCTGCATTTATACCATTTGATTTTAATCCTATCCATTCTATTCCAAAGGTTAGGGCGTTTGTTATCTCCATTCCAAGGTCACTACTGTATTGTTCTGTTAAGATACAAGGAAGTAACTGAAGGAGATTATCCTAAATAAAGATTATGTAGCTTAAGCGTGATTGTTCGTAGTTAAAGTGATTAACTACCCTCCTGGCACTTAGTTAAGGGATCTTACTGATTTATTCCCTTCTTAGTCCTGTTAATCCCTAACTCCAGGGAAAAATCCCCACCTGGGGAAACAACCTTTCTTGGAGAGGTGACCTTGGTTAAAACACATAGCGCTAAGTAGGGGAGCAAACATATTAAAAACAGTATGCCATATACGCCAGGTCCCTTGAAACATGCTGTGCAGATGTTTCTTCCCTGCAGCGACTGTGTCAAGCAGCAAGGATGGACCTGCTTCCGGCAGCAGCTGATAGATGTCTTGCTCTCACATCAATAGATCTCTCTCTCTCTCTCTCTCTCTCTCCCCCAAAATCAATAAAAAAATCTTAAAACAAAACAAAACGAAGATCCATTTTATTTGCCCCACAATTATTCCCAGGAGTGGCCTTAGGCAGAAAGGAACTTTAGGGCAGAGTAGAGAAAAAAAGAGGGGGAGGTATCTGTGGACAAATCAATTTGTAAAATTCTAAGATTTTTTAAAAAGTTAACAGGTTTTTCTCCTGCAGGAATTTTTTTTTGTTTTGAAATTTCATTTTATTATTTTTTAATTTTTTTTCAAGGAAAATGATCTTAAAAATAATGCTACATACAATCAACATTAATCTCTCTCCTGCGGGACTTTTCGGTCTTTCATGTAGAAACGAGCATTGTGCATCTCCAGGGACGCCACACAACTTTTAAAAAATATATTTTATTGATTTTTTACAGAGAGGAAGGGAGAAGGAGAGGGATAGAGAGTTAGAAACATCGATGAGAGAGAAACATCAATTCAGCTGCCTCCTGCACACCCCCTACTGGGGATGTGCCCGCAACCAAGGTACATGCCCTTGACCGGAATCGAACCTGGGACCTTTCAGTCCGCAGGCCCATGCTCTATCCACTGAGCCAAACCGGTCAGGGCCACATAACCTTCTTAGTGTTTGGCGGGAGGCGTGTCCAGGAGACACAGAAACGCCGTGTCCGTGGGACAGGGAGTCCCCATAGTGGGTGGTTATCATGGGCTGTGGGAATTATTATGGGCTGCACACTTCGGGGCAGCCCAATGGCCAGGAGGAGAGGAGGCAGCCAGTAGCTGGGTAGGGGGCTGAGGTATTTCCCAGGAAGGGAGTTGGCCAACTGGGAGTCCCAGGCCCGAGTGTCGGAGCACTGGCCCAAGCTGTTCTCCATCCACAGGCAATGATGACTGCCTTTGTCAACATTCCGGAAATCCCTAATCTTAATGTCCTGAGTTCCTCTCTCTGTGTTTGAAGAGATTTTCTTTTATATTTTTCTCTTTTTTTTTTAGTCTTTAAAGAAGTTTTTACTAAGATATCATCCAGATAAATGAGAAGATAGCATACATATGTTATTATTATTTTTAATCCTCAGGACTGGGACCGGGGACCGAACCTGCAACAGAGTACCTGCCCTTGACTGGGCATTGAAACAATGACCCTTTGGTCTGTGGACCAACGCTCTAACCACTGAGCAGAACCAGCCAGGGCATATCATAGATATTCTAGAAAGGGAAGCACCCATTACAAATGTCTATGTTTGTACAACTAATGGATGCTCAAGACTGCACAGACAATTGTGCATAGGCCCTTCTGAAGTGTGTATGTGATTATACACATTTACATACGTGTTTGCGTTCTGTAAATACGCAAGCCTAAGGAGCAGGAAGTGTTACAAGTATTGCATAAAGCAGCTCAAGGTGCATTGCTTTCATCCAACTTTTCCTTAAAAAAACTTTTAAAAATGACTATAGGTGTGACTCCTGTGTGCCCCCTAAGTTCCCTTTAGGCCAACGGGAAATACATTTCCTACTGTTGTTAGGAAAGGAGGTGGGTTTTCAAAGCCCATACAGATCCAAGTGCATCAAGTGTCTGTTCTTTAAAAAACATATTTTTATTGACTTCAGACAGGAAGGGAGAGGGAGAGAGAGAGAAATATCAATAATGAGAGGCCTGGCTGGCGTGGCTTAGGGGTTGAACATTGACTTATGAACCAGGAGGTCACAGTTCAATTCCCAGTCAGGGCATATGCCCGGGTTGCGGGCTCGATCCCCAGTGTGGGGTGTGCGGGAGGCAGCCGGTCCATGATTCTCTCTCATCATTGACCTCTCTCTCTCTCTCTCTCTCTCTCTCTCTTCATCTCTGAAAAAAAAAAAGAAATAATCATTGACTGGCTGCGTCCTGCACGCCCCACACTGGGGATTGAGCCTGCAACCTGGGCATGTGACCCGACTGGGAATTGAACGGTGACCTCCTGGTTCATGGGTTGACGCTCACCCACTGAGCACGCGGGCAGGCCGGAGCGTCCATTCTGCACGGTGGCAGTACTTTTGTGTCTGCAGGTCATGTTAAATATTAGCAATGGCGCCGAAAGCACCGGGGGGAGGGCGGGAGTGTACAAACAGCTTGTGACCCTTGTGCTCGTCAACCCAATCGAATGGCTCATCACCAGCATTTCAAAAACAAGACAGAACACCAACGCCACAGAGCCTCACATGACATGTCTATTATAGGAGTAAGTTTCGGTTTGTGAACCTTTTGATTGAATTTGTATGCGTTTGTTCAGATTATATATGTATGTGTCTGGGGTGCTTAATACAATCTATATTTATTGTGCGTTAGCATTAAAGAAGTTTGAAAGTCAGTAATCTGGAGCATGCATGATTTAAAAAAACCTTTTCATTTGGAGTAATTGCAAACCTACAGAAAAGCTGCAAGAATAGTGGAATGAACACTTTGGCCGTTCACCTAGGTTTTCCAGTTGATAGCATTTTACTATATTTGCTTTCCCTTCCTCTCCATGTTATTATTATTTCTTTTAAAAAATATTTGTATTGATTTCAGAGAGGAAGGGAGAGGGAGAGAGAGATAGAAACATTAATGATGAGAGAGAATCATGGATCGGCTGCCTCCTGCACGCCCTCTACTGGGGATGGAGCCCGCAACCCAGGCATGTGCCCTGGACCTGAATCGAACCCGGGACCCTTCAGTCCACAGGCCGATCGACGCTTTATCCACTGAGCAACACCAGCCAGGGCTATTATTATTTTTTACTAACAGTTAGAGTTAGTTGCAAACATCACGGCCCTTCACCCCTAAATACCTCAGGTTGTATTGCCAGAGTCAAGGACATTCTCTCATCCCCAATCCCATTTTATCAAAATCAGGAACTGTCATCAATACAATACTATTATTTAAACTATTCTCTATATTGAAACCTGAACAGTGGTCTAAAAGATTAAAAAAAATTTAAAAAATATATTTGTATTGATTTCAGAGAGAGGAAGGGAGAGGGAGAGGGAGAGAAACATTCATGATGAGAGAGAACCATGGACCGGCTGCCTCCTGCACGCCCCTCACTGGGGATCGAGCCCGCAACCCGGGCCTGTGCCCTGACTGGGAATCGAACCCTGACCTCCTGGTTCATAGGTCGATGCTCCACCACTGAGCCACGCCGGCCGGGCTGAATGGTTTTTTAAGCAGCCATTCTTTTTCCCGTGGGTGGAAAAATGAGGTTCCTAGGGCGTGGCTGGTGTTCATTTGATTGCAATACTTCAAAACTGCCAATCCCTCGATTGATTTTCATGTTCCCAAATGCAATCGTTTCCCAAATGCCTTACTTTTCATATGTGAGGCCCAGATGAGGTCAGAATTGTTTGTTCAGTCCGTGTGTGGTGGCCATGGTAACGGAGCGAGGTTCCCGAGAATCCTGGAGACCAGCTCTCTCCGTAACCATGGCAGCCACAGCAGAGGCGCAGCCTGAGCTGAGGAGCCAGCCGCCTTGGGAG